AATAAATATACTTGCCAAGATAACCCTTTATTCTATTATTGTTTACTATAAAAGTAGTGTTAAAACCATTATTTCAAAATAAAAGAATTTAATATTACCATCACAGTATAATATTATACAAGTACATAATCAAGTAACCCTTAACCTATATACTATATTGGTCAGATATTTATTCTATTCAAATATAATAATTATTGATAAAAATTTATTCCAATATTTTTGTATGTGCCGAACACCCACCTAGATAAAAAGTTTTAGTTGCCAAAATTTATACTATAATGGTTACTTTTATGCTACCGAAATGGCACACTGAATAGTAACTTAAATAAATACTTGTAGCAGGAATATTTGCAGTAGTTAAGCTAGTGAACCTTGTATTTCTATAGTTATAACTAGGAAAGAATGATATGTATTTACTTGAGAAGTAATCCACTTAAGTCCAAACACCTGCCACATAAAGACATCCTCCTACACCCCTAATCTATTGTTTTAGTGAATTGCCAATTGTATTAGTTTCTTAAATTCATGACTCTAAGCTGCAATTGTTATGAAATATCATAATTATATGATCCTAATCCTGGTAATATGCACAATCATCGGACTAATAATAGCCTTATACTTTACATTCCTATCATTTCTTATAATGCTATATGTGAAATACAAGTTTACCTTCCCAAGCTTACTCTCAACTAATCAATTAAAAATAATTCATTTTCTCACAAGACCCCTCAATTCATTATATGTGTGCAATATAAGTATGATTTGTAAGTCATACATCTCATTTTCTGCATAAGCTATATTATGTAATGCCTATTTTAGGAAATCTTGACAATAACTATTAAATGTAGGTTCCTGACCTATTGTAGCTTCTGCTTTCATGGACTTTTATAACTATGATGCATTTCACAAAGCATAGTATAGTAGATGGAAGAACTAGAACTACCTATTCATTTAACCCAACTGGTGTTGGTAGAGGTAATGGAAAATGTTAGAAATTCTATGTCACTTATAGATAGTCGCATCACCTGACCATGGTGAAAAGGCACTCACCATCAGAAGTAGTGGGCAGAGCACTAGAGATTGGGGAAGAATTCCTAGTAGGCTTCTTGTCCTTATGACTTGAACAGGCCATGAACACAGCTGCAGCAGGATCTATTAACTCAAGTACCTTTCCTACATGGGGTAAAGGATGTGGCTATGACAAAGGGTTTTTAACCAATGAACAAGTGCCTTGGCAAGAAGTAAGGTCTAGTTTCTTCTTTCGCTGTGGTTGTAACGGAGACGGAGCTTGGGTTAATACTTATAGTGTATCTTCAGTACTTGTACTAGTACTAGTACGGCACTCAGAACTGCTAAACATTTTGCCCTAGTACTTTATTGCCTCAACTGCCAACATCTGCCATTCCCATGACATTACCTAACTGGGCTTGGTCACATTGCTTAGTCACAAGTAAGCACCAGAAGAAAAAACCTTGTATATCAAAAGACATTATGTAGAAGGAGTTGTGGTCAAATGTCATCATTTTGGAACTTGTACTACTCCTGTGCAAATATTTCAATTTGATTCTGCTGATTAAAACTCTCTCAAGTATATATCAGATGCCTTGAAAATCCAATAATGTTGATCTAGTGCACCCGCCCGAGTACTCCAAGCTTTCTAGAGGCATCAGCATGATCTACCCCCCAACCCAGATTCCCCACCGGGAGACTGGCAACCTCTCCAGATCTACACTGATACCAAGCAGGCCCATGGCCATCTCCGGTGACCAGCTAGTATAGATGACTCCAATGCAATCAAGCTGTTTCAAGTCTTCTTCACTAATGGGCTCTTGGATAAATTAGCCTACTATACTAATAGTTTGGCTAAAAACAACTACGAGGAGTGAAAAAAAACAACTGAGGAGCGCGCTCGAAATGGAAACCAACATGTAGATAGGAACTCTATACATATCTTAGTATAATATGTTATATAGCGCTTTATCAAGAGCCTTTGATCGGTGACTATTGGAAGATTTCTGATGGCTTTCTCCCTACCCATCCGGTTAGGAACTACATCAGCTGCAATCGATTTGAACAAATAGATCTCTTTCTTTACTGTGCACAACTAGGACAATCCTTCCAAAGTTGATTTGGAAGGGTTATTCACCTCTCGGATTACATCAAAACCCGGGCCCAAGGGTACTATAAGTCAGGTCCAAATCTTGCAGTTGATAAGATGATTCAGTGCTTTCATGGGAGGGCCTCTGAGATTGTCAATATTCCCTATAAGAAAACTCCAGAAGGGTTCAAAATCTCGGTTTTGGCGTGTTATGGATATATCATCAACTAGATATTTCATGAAAAGGGCGAAGATTGTGGGCCTATAGAACTAGATCCTATTTGGGTGCAATATGGCTTTACTCTGACCGAATCAATACTCCTTACTCTTGTACTCTACCGTGATCCAGATATTGGGGAAAGAATGATCTAAGCGATTAAACGTATACTGTAGTTTGACAGTTTGTTTACTATAATCCCACTTTTGAGAACACTATATGAGCTAGGTATTGGTACTGCAGAAATGGTACGTACAATGCATACAAAGCGTGAGGAGCAATGGGATGCGGAGGAAGAACCTATTATTTCCCTTCATAGAAAAGACATCAAAACTCACATCTTATGTACACCAGAGTTCTCACAAAATTCCACCCACTCTTTAGTTGTGGAAGCCTATAATTCACAATCTGTATTTACCGGATTTAGTAAATCAGAATCTCTGACACTGACTGAACAGCAACAGCAGAAAAAGAGACATACTATTGAATTACTCCATACTTGCGAGAAGTTCTCAGAGAGGCTTATGAGCATCAAGTTGGTCTACAACAACCGAGTTATCTGGGGAACAAGTACTGGGAGCTTTCAGCCAAGAAATCAGTCATTCAACTTGCCTGGAAAGATGCTCAAATTGTCGTCTTTACAAGAACAGTGGCCCTCCCTCATGAACAAGTGATTCGGCTCAGCAAACAACTGGCAACAACAGCAACTGTAGATAATATTACACGGAAAGTATTTGGAGATCAACCGGTAAAGTATCTTCTAATACCAACAATAGTAGACAACTATAACCATAGCATGAGAGCTGTAGACCAAGCTTTAGAGCTCATGACAACTTACGATACCCAAAGAGTCAAAAGATAGACATGGAGGCTTCTATTCTTTTTTTTATTGAATATGGCCCTCAACAATTCTTTTTTATTATCAAGCCAGTGTACCAAAAATAATTCAACTTATGCACACAAAGAGTTTTTCCAGGATCTAATTGCCTCCCTCTTTGAAGCCTTTCAGAAAACATTTCGCGGATCTAATCTGGCTGTTCGGGAATCTCAAAGTCCTGCCCTATTAGATTTACCTCTGAAAAGTTCTGAGGTTTCTACTGGCAGAATGGCTATTCTGAGCTCTCCTCCCCAGGCTGTTACTTCAATCCCAGGAACACTTGTCCCACAATCTGGTGAAAGACTGGACACAGTTATGCAGAAACATGAGCTTGTAAAGCTTTTTCAAACTGCTAAGTCCTGTCAGTCATGTCGGCTAGCATGCAAGTCATGAGTTTCTCTGGCCTAGCAAGACTACAAGGTTCAGGCACAAAGACTTCTTAGGAGCTACTATGGCTGTAAAGTTTGTAGAGAAGCTATCTGTTTGAAAAAGAAAAGCTGTTTTTTGGAGCATGTTAGATGTACTCAACTAGCAGAGTCAAGGAAACACTTGGCGAGATCAGAGTCAATCAAATCGTGTACTCATGATGACGAAGTGTTTTTTAAAAAGACTGCTATTGCATACCACCTAAATTTAAGAAAAGTACTAAAATATTGGCTATATGCAATAGCAGTCTCTTTTAAAAACGCTTTGACAGCGTGAGTAGACGCATTTTGTATTATGTATAAATCTCAGTATGAAGTGGCGCTAAAATCCTGGCGTGCTTATGGTTGCTGCCAACCCAATCCGGTAAAGTCACGTGAATGGCAGATGTTGGCAGTTGAGGGGATAATCAATTGTGGCACACGTCACAAAGCTTTGGAAATGGCCACTTTTAGTGTACCTTTGGCAAGGCGCAGTACAGTACCTACAAGGATAATAATACCTACTTGGATCCACCTTGTAACACCCCGCTACCTCAATCCTTCATTCTATCAACCATGACGTTTCCAATTTTTCGCAGAGCTCAACTTCCCCATGTGTTTCGAAATTCTTCCCGCTCAATCCTCACCGCCCGTGCTGGGAACCCAGCAGGAGCTGGATCCGTTCCACAAACATCGCCCTTTGCGCTTCGCCATTTACTTTCTATCGACGACCTCACATCATCGGAGTTTGTGAAACTCGTCGGCCAGGCCAGGAGAGCAAAGCAGGAATTTAAGGCTGGACAGACCAGTCCTTCGCTGAAGGATACATTAACAGGCAGAACTGTTGCCATGATGTTCTCCAAGCGTTCAACAAGGACCAGAGTGTCTACCGAGGCAGCAGTGGTTTATCTTGGGGGTCACCCGATGTTCCTTGGAAAGGATGATATTCAGTTGGGGGTTTGTCTTGCCCATCCCGTCACCGATTGATGTGATCGCTAACAGTGTATAGGTTAATGAGTCACTTCCCGATACCTCCAGGGTCATCTCGTCAATGGTATCTTGCATGGTTGCCCGTGTGGGGTCTCATTCCGATGTTGTAGAGTTATCAAAGACATCCACTGTTCCTGTCATTAATGCTCTCTCCGATGCCTTCCACCCTCTCCAAGCAGTTGCCGATATCCTCACAATAACGGAAATATTCCCGGAACCAAAAGGCATCAAGGTCGCGTGGGTCGGCGATGCAAATAACGTTCTCTGTGACCTCGCAATTGCATGCGCAAAGTGTGGCATCAACGTTTCAATTGCTACGCCATCTGCCTATCCAGTCCCACCAGATATGCTTCAGCTTGCGCGCAATGCAGCACATCTGTCGGGCTCATCCATTGTGACCACTCATGAGCCGGAGGCTGCGGTTAAGGGGGCACACATTATTGTGACCGACACCTGGGTCTCAATGGGTCAAGAGTCTGAGAAGGTTATAAGGCTTAAACAATTTGCTGGATTTCAAGTATCTTTAGATCTCGCTGAGAGGGGTGGTGCGAATAAGGACTGGAGGTTTATGCACTGCTTGCCGAGGAAACCAGAGGAGGTAACGGATGAAGTATTCTTTTCCCCAAGGAGTTTAGTTTTCCCAGAGGCGGAGAACAGGCTCTATGCAGCAATTGCTGCATTGGAAGCTTTTGTGATTAAGCAAGGGAATTTTGGGAGGTAGATGGGCAAGTTGTGTCGATTCCTGCATTGTTATTGCTATTGATTGGGGCTGGACAAAAAGTAATGTGAGGCTGTAGGTTCGTGATTACAAGCTTTGTATTCTTGGTGAAGCACATCTAACCCGTTTTTTTTCTTGATCCTATGCTATGGCTATAAGAATTGTGTGACCGGCTGGATTTGCTGTTTATTGGACGGGTATCGTAAAGCGCGAGGTCTGGTTCTGAAGGGGAACTAGTTGGATCCCGAGTTTGCTTCCTGTTATGCCATTTGGCTGGAATCCAAACCTATGACCCGCATTGTTTTTCCCGGGCGATGTTTCTTTCAGGGCGTTGTAAAGATAACTAATAAAGTATTTTTGTAAAGATCCAATGTACTCTAACGTCAAAGAATCTGCCCGGATAGCTGACGGGGTCTACCTAGAGCAGTGACATTGTTTCAACTGACCGTAAGGAATCCGGATGGAGCTAGGAACCAACATATTCCAATCGGACGTAAAAATACCATTGTATATACGAGTATGTGGCAGTAGGTGCTTATATTGTCCACGATTCGGGGGTCGAGTGACATGTGGGAAAGAGGGTCCCTAGAACGGCATGGGTTTGGTGCCCTGAGGCGTTCCATGTGACAACCAGTGGCACCGAGTTGGTCTGCTATCTCGACTTGGTTCTTGGACAACATTCTCCGTTTGACAGCATCTTCCTGGGGGTCATCTGCGCTCACACTTCCTTGGCGATCAGATAGACCTCAGTTACGCTTGAATTTGTCGGAATACCAAACTGGCTCTTTGATCCTGCCTTCACTGCGCTTCCTTCCGTCTCTCCCGTTGAGTTCCTCCGGTACTGGTCTCCCGCTAGTCAACCTCCGGAACCCAAAAATACGGAAAAAAGGGAGGTTTGCGACAACCCCAGATCACAGCACAATCGACCAGGGGCAGAGGGAAAAGCTTTCGGTTCTGTGTGGTACTAACCGTTCACCCCTCTGGTCCTATGGCCTTTTCAACTTGAACATGAACTCCCTTAGCATACTCTCGTCTCGAGTCGACAAAGTTATTGGAGCAACGACTCCACCGGCTACTCAACGGACAGATCCTTTTAAACCTCTACGTCGTGGGCAGCGCTCTGGCTCTTTGAGGTCTTTTGAGGATAGGGGGTATCAGCCGAAGAGGGACCTCAAGCAAAGCGTTTGTTATGATGACGATGGAGATGGCGACGAAGAAGAAGTGGAAGAGGAAGATGGGCCAGAAGACTATGAGGAGGACGAACACGGTGATTTATTACTCGACAAGGGCCAGCGATCTGTAGGGTACGGGATGTGGCTATTGGGACCATGGCTAGGGGCATTCCGGTGGTTTTTCTCAACATTGTCTTCTTCGGGAGGCTGGCTGATATCCTTTTTGTATAATGACGATGGTGTCTTTTCTCCGCTCCTGCCGATTAAGCGTTTCGCCGCAATATTACTAGGGCCATTTGGTGGGTTTCAAGGTCGGGTTACTGAATACTCTGATTACGAGAAGAGCGGTTTTGACGACACTTCCGCAATAATGAGCGATTCGGAAGTATTACACCATTACGGAAGTGATTCGGGCATGGATCCAACACCACCAGCGCACCATCTACGCTCTAGACCCTTTAATCGAGACAGTCCCTTCTTGATCGACGAGATAGTCCCCCGGAGATCAATTCGTATCCGGCTTTATAGTGAGGAATCCGCAACAATTACAAAACCAACATCTGTGAAGTCACCAACATCTCCATCCCCAAGTCTGCGGCTTACAAAGTATCCACGGAGCTCGGGACCCACCAAACCACTTCTCCCTTCCCATCCTTCTCCGAAGACATTGATCTTGGATCTCGACGAGACATTAATCCACTCACTCGCCAAGGGGGGAAGGATGACTTCCGGTCACATGGTGGAGGTCAAACTCGACCGCCAGCATGCGATCCTATATTACGTTCACAAGCGCCCTTACTGCGATGAGTTTCTCCGAATGGTATGTCTTCTAAGTATTCTATGGTAGGTGTGGGCAGGGTCTGACATAGAGGGTGCGTAATGATTCAGGTCTGTAAATGGTACAACCTTGTGATATTCACAGCATCTGTGCAAGAATATGCCGATCCAGTAATTGATTGGTTGGAGCAAAATCGAAAGTACTTCAAAGGCCGTTATTATCGTCAACACTGCACGCAACGTGGTGGTGCTTACATCAAGGATATCAGTGCCGTGGAGCCAGACCTGTCTAAAGTTATGATAATCGACAACTCACCTATGAGTTATATTTTTCATGAAGGTTGGTTCGTTCAAATCATGTGACTTCTATTGTGTATAGTAGCGGTGTCGGAGCCGTTGTGGGAGCCTTTTTGGGTGCATCAGGAATAGTGTTAATTCTCGTGATACAGATAACGCAATCCCGATTGAAGGATGGATTAACGACCCTACCGATATCGACCTTTTGCATCTGATTCCATTGCTTCAAGCATTACAATATGTCACCGATGTCAGGGCTTTGCTAGCTCTACGAATGGGCGAGATTGATTGATTTGCTGAGCGTTTTTTTTTATCATACGGAGGGCGTTAATCTCTTGGTTTCTGGGGGCCGTTGATCCTAAGTTGTGACGCATTGGTAGGGGCTGATGCTAGCGCTTGTTGTCGCTTTTTTTTACATCATGTTTTCACCACATTGATTCTTTACTCCATTCTTCGAATATCCAGCTGGTCGCAATTGTTTATATTTACATTCATAGAGGACACCGGTATAATCTTTCGGCTTCATTCAGTCATTGGGATAAACTGTCAAGGTAGGAATAGGGTTTTTCGGGATGGATTTATTCCTTGCTTTGTTTCCATAACTACTTTCTTTGCTATTTCGCTATTCCGAAGGATGGCTGCAGGAGGAATAAGGTATGAGGGCGGTGGATGTGAGGGGGGAGGTTTGTATGATATGTATGGGTGATAGAATGACTACATAGAATCTCTTTTTGCTGTGTTATTGAACCGGTTCGTGGAGGCGACCAACCTAACCGGCCTGGGAATACTACTTGCAAGAGGTGTATGCTGGCGGTATAAGTTTGGGCAAGTTCGGCCAGATCTTGCTAAGGATGTCGACGTGTTGGTTCAAAGGGTGCACATCACAGAAATGCCAGATAAAAATAATGATCTCTGTCTAAATGTAAAAGAAGTCGTCAAACAAGGTATAAGATCAACATGTCCTTCACCAAGTTCTTCCATGTTGACCAGAATGCCAGGGAAGGGAAGACGGCGAAGTCAATTATAATATGAGTACAGTCGTGTCCGGAAAGTCTTCACACCCCAGCTCGGCAACGGCACTACCACAACACCCAACCACAAAAAAATTCAAAAATAAAACAGAGAATTCAATTAAAGAAACGATAATAGTATAGCTAGTAGATGATAGAAAAACATTATTACCATTTTGTATGGCCTCCATCTGCATCCAGTACAGCCAACATTCTCTCAGGCATTCTATCTATCCATCTATCCAACTTCTCTTGAGGAATTAATTCCCATTCCTCCTTTGCTGCCTCAAACAATTCAGCAGCACTGTGAGACCTTCCCTCTAGTTTGGAGAATGTCCTGGTCAGGGCTCTTTTGAGTAGTGCCCAGGTGGTCTCAATAGGATTGAGATATGGTGAGTTGGGTGTCTAAAGGAGTTTTTTTGAAACCACACTCAGCCTCCAATTTTTTGATTTTCCTCACCACCATGCTAGGAGGCATTGTCAGCAGCTAGGTAGATGTTGTCAGAAGGCCTATCCAGACCTTCTATAAAAGGGATGAGGTATGGCTAGTGGATTTCACTTGTATATTGGTGGGAATTGAGGCCAAGTTTGTCTCTTTCGCAGGTCCGTTCCTCCTCTCCCTTCTTGCTCACAAGAATTAACTCAGTCCTACCACTGTTCATGGTTACAGTATAGTGTAATGATCCCCTTTGGATAGTTAGTTCTGGGCAATGGGGAACGATACTTCTCTTCTTCTTTCTATTATAGGATAGGTGTTAGGCACATGCCTAAGTTACTAACAATACAGGACCTTTTTCTTCTATCTATAATGCCTATGGTAAGCTTCTTCTAACTCTATGTTGTATAGAGTCTTCTCCAAGTAACAATAATAGAGGTCATGATAATAGTAATAAGTATAAAGGTATTTTAAATTCATTAAAGTAATAAGTAGGAAATGTACTTGAAATTCAATTTCATTTGATTAAAACACATACTGCCAATACTGGCATACAACGAACCAGTACTGGCACAGGGATACAGCTAACTGGGATACTACCAACTCTGAGCTAACTAAGTTTACGGGCCCACACTTACCAACCCCAGGTCATACCACCTTGGAAACTACTTACAAGACCATTGAACAACCCAGAGCTCTCCTTAGTCTAAGTCTGTAGCCTGTCTGGGATGAAGCCTACCAGCAATAAGTGTAGCTGAAGCCAATCAAAAGACTAACCCGACCAGGTTCCTCATTGAAAAAACATAAAACACTACTACCTGGTCTGAATACTGTCCTGCAACCCATATCCACTACCATAGAAAACCAACAATCTAAACCTACCGGTGAGCCAATAGCAGGTAGAAGGCAACTGACATATCCACCACTTGCACCAGCATGCCAAGCTATCAATCCAGTGAACCCGATTTTGCCGTTACCCCAGAAGAGTCTATGGTGAGTACGACTTGTACCTACTCCCTGTTCTTCAAATAAAAAACCAAGAAATAAAAAAAATACATGGAGGTAGTCACTGACTGAACAATGGTCAGTAGGGCCTATCTGTTAGGCAGAGACAACCTGATAGACTTCAGAGTTGTCTGGGTCAGCCAAGATTCATTCCTGTAGATGGAGAATATCTAGAAAGGCTCAGATTTCTCTCATTCATTTATGACTACTAAGAGCAAAGTAGAACAGATAACATAGGATAGAATTGTAAAAACAATAGTATATTGTTAAGGTCTCTTCTCTGTTACTTGATGATGTTTAAAGCTTGGGAGGCACCTCGATATTGATATTTCCCGTCTGAGTGTTTGCAGACTACATCTATCAATTATATAACTAGTACCTCTCTAATTATAACTCACAATGTCAGGTATTCTTCAAAGATGGGAACACCTGGAGACCATCAAAATTACTACACCCTCATTGGTAATTACAATATAATTAACAAGGAATTATAGGATTCCCAATAGTAATTATTCAATCAACAGAGTCTTCAAACTTATGGCCTAGTTCTGAAGTGGAACAGAGTTGGCTTCAGTTGTCTCCATCTATAATGAGATGATTGGTTTCAGCTGCTGGTTGTATCTGAAGAGGTAGTTGTGATTGCAACCTTCTTAGGTTGTTTGACTTTGAACCTGAATAACTCTATGTCCAACCGACAGATCACTTCTGGATGAGTTCCTACTAGTTCACAGAAAGTTATTGTACTGGATTAGTACATAATCCATGCTCAGCAATACCTCATTATGGAAGGTGATTCTGCAAAGTTGAGTATGTAACATTCTTTGATTGCCAACTTCAAAGCTCAATAACTCCGGCCTCAACCAATAGAATCTTATCCAGTAACTTCCTTTGTGTAGAGGAGAAGCACTGCTATAGGATAGAATCATAATCCTTCTGTCAGATGTTCTCGGTTGTCATGCAGGAAGCTATGCAGTTGCAAGTAGTCTTCATAGAAAATAACTAAATAGCAGAAATAAGTATGATGACAACAGGAGTTCAACATGTGACCTTTAGTGAGGAGTGACATGATATGCAATTGAACTATAAACCAGAGATAGATAAGCATGATGACATGCGGTCCCCATACCTTGAAGGGAGCTGGAGTGGGGTGTTGGGAACGAGAGATTCCAATTCCGTGTAAGGTTACCCTATTTAGTGTAGTTCTTAGGTATCGGATCCTGGTATTCCTAATACCTTACCTACCCATGAGGCCATGCCCCTTCCTGCCCTACCTGTAACCAAAGTAAAGAAACTAAACAAACCTTACGAAGCCCAGCACATAAGGCCCCAAGAGGTGTAAGCAGGTGGTGGCAACCCACAATCCACACAGATGGTAGTCAACCTGTCTGTTCATCTAGGAGCTTTACAGCACTCTGCAGCTTTACCTTGACAATTTAAAAAGGCCACAAACACTTAATTAGAGCTCGTCCAAATGATGCAGGATCGACCAATGTTTGCTGGTGCCTCTCCCCTCATCCCCAGCCCCTCCCAAGCCCAATATACCACATGCCACAGGACCTATCCAGCTCCTGCAACCACTCAGACTGATCAACCATCTGACAGCTACAGTACAGCCTATACCCGGGCCTACCAGGCAACTATTGGCCTTGGCAACATCTACAAAGTCCCAACCGGCACACAGTGCAGCTGAGGGGGTAACCAGCTAAGACCAGGTGCCAGAAAAGAGGCAGCACCATTACCCGAATGCACTTGCACAAGCCATACCATCTGACTAAGCAGAACTGAGACCAAACTATAGTGGGAAACCGTTAGCCAGAACTATCTGAAGAAAGCCCCACTGGTTCTGCAAGTGGCACAGACCAAACAATGGGGGAAGAGGAACTCCTAACTGACGTGACAGAAAGGAGGAGGGCATATGAACAGAATCAGGCAAACAGAATATAGGCCCTACTTGCAATGGGTAAGGCCGACAACCACAATCTACAACCAAACCACCCGATCCTACATCCAATGTGAGTGTCTGTTAGCCAATCATCCTACACCACCCCAGGCAACCACATGAGCTGCCCCATGGGTAAGATATTTCAGTGTCAAAGCCATCCCCACAGAAGCGAGTCGGAGAAACTTGAGTGACCCACCATGAAGCAGCCAGGTAAGAAGCTCCAAGCAAGAGGTAATAAACAATGTCATAGGAATCTGATGGTAGAAACAAATTGTAATGAGGAGGGGAGGGCTCCTGCTTACAGCAGGTGCTCTTTTCTTATGGCTTCTCCTGCTTGCATCCCTGGGCTATATGCCTAAGACATATATTTATATCACTTATATGGCATGCCTATTTACTTTTTCGACTTCATGGGTATGGTCTGTCCCACATGTTGGGCTGGGAATCTGGTTGTCGTAGGTGAGGGCTTGGTTTTGGCTTTCGGTCTGGGGTTTCTTTGATTTGGGTTTTTTTCAGTTCGGTGGGGTGTGTACTGTCGCAGTAGAGGAATTTCTGACTTTGAAGAATCTGTTTCTGGGCTTTCTGTCTTTACTGGTTGTAGATAGCTGTGCGGGAGACTTGCTGGGGACTGTTTTCAACTGAGTACTAGTTGGATATCGGTAGCTCTAGGTGACACCTCTCCACGTTCAAGTCATAGGATCTGAGGATCTGGGACCTAGCTGTTGGTGTTAGCCTTTCTGGGGTCACGGTCTTTTATCTAGCTACTTGAGATCAAGGTGGGGTGGAGGTGTGGGTCTACATGGTGTGAGCTGATATAACCACTGGCCTTACTCTCGGTAAACCAAGAGAAGTAAATAAGATAACAAAAAAAAAAAAAAAAAAGATTTTTCCGGTACAGTGGGACATGTCTCTCTGGTTTACTAGATCTGACCACACCCCTATATCCATAATGCTTTCATCCCCATTACTCTCTTCCCCTCTACTCATGCTGTATTAGAAGGCTGCTGACTGGTCCAAAGTCCTAGATGAACTAGGCTCCCTGATGATTTCCCCACATTCCCCTCTCACAACCCAGTAGGTGCTAGCCACATGGCTTGACGTTAATTTCAACAGAGTATGCTTGGTCCTTGCCAAACACTCACTGATAAGAAGACCCTCTACATGATCAAAACCATGGTAGCTGGACACACTATCTGACCTAAGAAGGGTCTACCACTCCCATGCCAGAGAGGCACACACCTTCCCAGCTATTGACATGCAGCGAGGTACCCGATTGGCCAAGAGTACCTACTTTAATGCTATCAAGAAGGCCAAGAAAGAATACCTGACGAAGTTCCTGGAAGGTGCGA